GGCTTTGGAACATAAGTCAACATGTTCAATTCAAGCTCTCAGTGATAAAACACGATTAATTGCATTGATGAGCTGATCGATACTATATATTGGCCCAGTTTAGGGGTTTTTTTTTGGTAAGCATATTCTTTTAATGAAATTTATCTTCCAACTGAAATTAAACTAGAGCCAAAGCCTTTTTTCTAAATCATCTTCAAACACAATTTCCAATCCTGTCCCGCTTGCCTGCCGTTGACCCATTCCAAGTCTATACTCAAATCTCTCTTTTGAGAAGCTAGCATTAGTCTCCTGGTTGAAAGTACGCTTAATTCCATAACTCACCATATGTTGTCTTAAATTATGCTTTGCTAAATACAACTTTAGTTGATGCTTAAGGAAGACTGAAGGAAAGCTGATACTTTCAAACTAGTGTTGGCAAAGCATATTCTATATGCCGTGGACAGATAAGAACAAATGTTTCTTAGAAGAAGTGACACTAGAGCGCTCCTTAAAAGCAAGGATGGTGAGATTTCATGTCATGAGCTCTGAGCATGTTATCAGCAGGTAGAGTCAATGGAAAAGAGAAACAAGACAGATTGACACAGTGATAGCAACAAGGGGCAGAACACAACAGAGCTGTTGTGAGGATGGCTCAGGATGGGGGGTCAGGATGGGGGGGTCAGGATAGGGGGTCAGGAGGGGGGTCATGTTGAGGATCAGGATAGTTCCCAAAATGGGGATAGGGTCGGGGCTCAGGACGAACAGTGTTTCCTTCTGGTACACACAAGCCCATTATGCACAATAGCACCTAACAACACCACACAACATTTAGCTCCCTAAATATGCTATTTAACATTTGGAGCTAAACGGGATGCTTTCTCATCCTCCAAACCACCAGGTCATTGCCCAGTGTGGTTGTCATTACCCAGCATGTCATAAATTGTCAGTAAAGATATGGCATTTGAATGATGCCCAAATTCCACTCCCCCAAAACACCACACCAGCCAGCTTGGGTGCAGTCCCACTTGTCCAGCTTTTAGTCAACTTCAAGTCTGACATCATCTCAGCATCAGAAAAGAGGACAAAGGAACAGCAGTGTGAATGGTGGTGAAGACTGTGGTCAGGACATGGGTCAGCAAGTCCTTCAGGGTCTCCTTCCAATAAGAGACTCCTGGACAATATTGTGAACCCAGGACCTTCAATACAAGGGAGACTTTCAGATGCCCCAGCAAATCTCAGAGAACACATGAGCACTTCAATCGCTGTGCCAGTGTCATCCAACCAGCCATCAATGATGTGATGTTGTTATTATGTGCATGCAAGTCGCCTATGACTCATAGTGACCCTGTGTACATCATAGTGACCCTGTGTACAACAACCCTAAACCCTACTCTGTTGTTGATTTTTGTAAAGTTGAGCACAACTCACAGAGACCCTATGAACAAAAGGCTTGAAGCCCCTCTACAACTATCAACATTTATCAAAGTTCATAGAGTTTTCAGAGGCAGGTTGTTTAGGAAGTGGATGCCATTCCTGCTTCCTGTTCCAATCTTATTGTCTGTGACCCAACCAGCTCCATTACTCAGGTCACTGAATCAATCCATCTCATCGAGGGTCTTCCTCTCCTGCACTGTTCCTCCACCCTCCCAAGCATGACACTCCTCTCCAAGCACTGGTCCCTCCTTGCAACATGTCCAAAGTATGTCAGATGGAGCTTCAGAATCCTTGCCTTCAAGGAGCAGCCCTGCTTCACCCTCTCCAGGACTACTAATCTGTTTGTTCTCCTAGCAGTCCATGGTATATTCAATACTCCTCTCCAGCACCACAGCACAAAAGCATCCATTCTCCTTCTATCATCCCTAGCCATTGTCCAGCTCTCTGAGGCATAGCAAGTAATTCAATCACATGGAGAGGAAAATTATAATCATGACAGTGGTTGTCATCCGGGGAAGAAGCCCTGATGATGTCACATGTAAACTCTCGACTACTTAAAAAAGAGGTGACAGTTCAAACCCCAGCTTCTCTGTAGGAGAAAGACCTAACTGCTGCTTTCACAGAGATCGAGCCTGGGACACTCGATGGGGGTCCTCCACTAACTTACAGGATCACCATGAGTCAAACTCAATTCAACAGCATCTGTCACCAACAACAATGGATTCTTGGGTGGTCAACCAAAGTTAGCCCACTGCCATTGATCCTGACTCATCGTGACCCTGTCAGACTGAGCAGAACTTCCCGGAAGAGCTTCTGAGGCTGTGCCTCTTTACAGGAGCAGACTGTCTGTCTGTCTTTCTTGGAGCAGCTGATGGGGTCAAAGTACTGACCTTTCAGTTAGTAGCCCCACAATTATTACCAAGGCTGCTTTGTACAGGCTACCAACCACCCACGGATCTGAGTTGACTCAGATAATGAAACACCCTGATGGGCTGTGGCCAGAAGTCTTCATGGAGGGGACCACCCACCTTTCTTCTGTGGAACAGCTGGTAGATAAGAACTGCCCACCTGCTGGGACTTAGCAGCCCACCAAGAAATGTTCTATGCCGAGATACCACCTAGTACAGATTAGGAACCAATAAAACCATGGAAGAGACAGACCAGGTAGCTCTATGTTCAGGCCAAGATAGACTCTGGAGCATGGGAGACTGGCAGTGAGAAAAATCCGTGATGTAGTTAACACAGGACACCCAAGTGTGCAGAGTAACAATCTACAGCATCCTCTGGACACGTTAACTGAAGCACTAAACGTGTCCTCAGCCCCCATGTCAATATTTCCCCCTCATCCTGAGAGTTTCTGACTGTAGAAACTCCTTCCAGTTCTCAAGGCTCAGCCTGTCATCTGCCCCAAGCCTTTCCCCTTCATCCTGCTGGACTCCAACTTGCCTTGTTCCTCAGCCAGTTCAGCTCCTAAGAAAACACAGACTGGGGGCTTTCTGGGGCTGTGGCTTAGCAGCTCAATGACCTTGACCATGCCTGTAACCCCCGAGCCTGTTTACTTATCTGTGTTAGGGACACGTTACTTAGTCCGCAGCCACTCTCCAGTAAGCAGGAGGTAACACTGGGCTGCCACATATGGAGGGAGTCCATTGCCATGGGGATTCAGAAGGCTGCTTACTTCTGAGGAGAGAGGCAGAGGAAAGGCAGCACACTCTCTGATCTCAAAACCGACTACACAGCTGTGGTAGCCAGAACAGCACAGTATTGTCACAGTGACAAGTACATAGACCTCTGGATTAGAGTCCAGAGCCAGAAATTATCCCATCAATCTACGGTCAGTTAATATTTGACAAGGAAACACAACCCATTAAGTGGGGAAACAATAGCCTCTTTAACAAAATGGACTTGCAAAACTGGACATCAGCCTTCAGAAAACTAATACAGAATCTACAACTCACACTACACACAAAAACTAAATCAGCAGATTAGAGATCTAGGCATAAAACAAAAAAACCGTAATGATTATCAGAGAAAAAACAGAAACCAATTTAGATGCCCTATTCTATGACATAAATAGACTGGTGGCCTAGTGGTAAGAAGCTGTGCTACAATCCCAAAAGCACACAGTTCGAATCCCCTAGCTGTTTCACAGGAGACGGAGGGGCCGTCTCCTCTCATGCAAATTACTGTCTCTGAAAATCCCCTGGAAGGTCTGCGATGGCGAGTTGGTTCTACTCAGTGGCATCAACAACAGCAACAGCAGTATTCGCGGGCATGAAGAGCCAAAACCTGCACAACCAGGAGAAGATAAAATCGATGAAAGGGACCTTCTGAAAATCAAACCCCTGTGAGCATCAGAAACTTTTTCCAAAAGGATGTTAAGAAAATACAATAGAAAAAAAAATTGGCAGCAATCTTGCAGACAAGGATTTCATAAAATAATAAAAAGAATGTTGTTGTTGTTGTTGATTGCCGTCGAGTTGAGCACAATTCATAGCAATCTTATGAACAAAAGGCCTGAGCTTTTCTAGAACTATGTTTATTAAAGTTCATAGTTTCCAGAGGCATGTTGTTTAGGAAGTGGATGCCACTCCTGCTTCTAACAATCAATCAATGGATACAGAGCTATAAAATATTTCCTACCATAAGCTGAGAACACTTAATTTATCCATTCGCTAGTCATTTTGTACCAAAATAAGGAATAATAATAATAGTCAATAATAATATCTGCCTTTCTCTGACTACCAAACACCAAGTTCTTCAGATGTTATTTCTAAACTATTCAACAAGGAGATAGATATTTTTATCCCAATTCACTGTACAGCAGCTTGACATTCTGAGGGATTGAACAACCGACATGGGTTATATAGGATGTCATGACTGTGAAACTCAAGTCCCTTTCCAGTCTACTCCACCCACTATTCCATGTGCCAGCACAACTAACACTCAAACCACCGAGCCAAAATCACCATCAGGCACAGCAGAAAACACTCTAGAAGATCCTCAGATTCTTCTCAAAACAACAGTAAAGATTTTCGAAAGTTCTCTCATCTCAGAGATGAGTTAAAAGAAGGAGTGCATGCTGGGATGCTTCACAGGATTCTCCAGTAATGCTACATTCCGTACAGTTAAACGGACTTTGAACGTCCAGAAGCTGAAATCAGAACTGAGTGCCTAGTGGAAGGGACAGGAGATACAGCTGGAACAAAATGTCTAGATGAGAGACACCTGGCTCCTGGACTCCGCGTCACTCCCATCAGTGAGTCCAGGCTCGAGTCCATCAATACAAACCTTTACTAGAGCTTTCTCCTATTCATTCAAATTAGTGAGACAATTTTACTCAAAACGGAAATCATATGAAGAAAAGATGAAATTGACTTGCAATTCTTTAAACAGTAATATCATATAATCTATAACTGTAACTGGAAAATGTCACAAAAATACGATAAATCATTTTGTAGCTTCTACTTGAGATTTTGGCTCAAGGATAGTCAGTCTGGTTTTGGTTGGTTTTGACTGGATTTACTTGAATTGTGTTGATGCAGGTGTTGTGAGTGGGGAAGCAGGGAAATGAGGCTCGCCCTTACCTGTCTGAACCACCTCAAGCATTTTTTCCCAAGATCCAGATGGGAACGTGTGAAGGAGACAGATATAAAGGCCAACATCCACTTCCGTGGCATTGTAAAAAGCAAGGGTCATATCCTTGGGATTCGAGGTTGAATTTAGAAAGTAGATCCTGCCAACATACGACTCTCTGACGATGGTCCCAAACAAAGGTCTGAAAATCACCATGGACTCTCTGTCCGATGTACTACTACTGATCTTGAACCATTCTGCTTGTGTTAAGATGCCTGGTGATGGATATATACACTCTAGACTCATATGATCCTCCAATTTAATAGTCGTATCTGGAGTAGTCGTCGTCCCACCTGGACCTGGAACACACATCACATTAATTCAATTAGACATAAAGAATGAAACACCATATGAACAACTTAAGCTTTCTTTCTAGAACCTAGAAAGACTATCAATTGAAAAAAATAATAAAAGGCTAATAGTTCCCCATCCCAGTCTAAGATTTCCACCCCTAACAGTTGGTATTTGTGACTTTATTTTTTTATGAACAAGTGAGAAATTACCCTATCGACTGTCAACTAAAGAACATACATCTAACAGTACTCTCAAAGTTCAAAAATGTAAAAGACCAATTACAAACAAAGACTTTTTTTTTTTACCTTTGTATACAAGAAGAATAGCAAGAAGGAAAGTTTGATAATCCATCTCTAGAAATCTTTTGGAAGACTGGTCTATGAAACAGATGATTATATATGATGTTACGTGACGCTCTATTTCCTTCCGATTATATCTCAGATGTCTTCTTTGTCTGAAAAGTGTGCACAGGAAGAAGGTTTCAGCTTCAAAGGCAGCTTTGTTCTCAGAGAAGGACAGGCCGATTTGAATTCTCTCTCAGGGAAACAACTCATTTCCATGGTTTTATTTCCTACAAAGATAGGTCTGTGGGCAAACATGCATCACACACACACACATGCCCTGCAGCAAAGACTCAGAAATTAATTCAAATACCTCTCTTGCCATCATAGGACTTACATTCTAGTGAGGAGATAGAAAAGTAAACAAGGACATCAAACTATAATATAGTATAGGTTGTAAATCCCAGGAGGAGAAAAGTCTTCAAGAGAGATGAAGCCCCTTAAGGAGATTGATTTGCACCGTGGGTGCCAAAGTGGGCTGCAACGTAGCAGTAATTGTGAGGATGGTGTAGGTTGGGGCAGTGTTTCTTTGTATACATACGCGCTGGGATTCATTCACTGGGACCTCACAGCAACAGCAGAGGGGTAAGGACTCTGAGGAACAATAAAGCAGGCATGTGAGGACAGAGAACAGGTGTGACGTGGGGCTCCCTTCGGAGAAGCCAAGGAAGTCCTCCCAAGGAAGGTGGTCGAGCAGTGAGCTCCAGGGCAGAGCCCCTGAGGTCTGTGGTTCTGAGGTGGGGAGGAGTCGTGAGGCTGTGCCCAGAGCAGCCAGCCGATGGGGTGGAAATGGCTTTCTTTATCCTCGCTGGCTTCAGCCTGCAGTGGTGATGGCGAAACCAATGAAGACCCTCCAGATACACAAAAGGACGCTAACTCGGCACGCATGCAAGTTCGCCCTCAGTGATTAGTTCGAGTTTTTGATCTTTTTATTTTGAAACAACTACAGACTCTCAGGAAGTTGCAAAGACTTTACAGAGTGGTCTGAGTGACCTCCCCCATTTCTGCCGTGGTCACCTCTTACATAATTTAGTAACCTCTACAGTGACCGGTTTTTCGGGTCCATCTCTGCTCCTTTCCCCATCTAGTAACCTAGCACTTGTCTTCTTACAGAACTGTTAGGAACATATCAAGTTCATCCAAGCCCACTCACTGTGCATTTTCTCCTGTCATACAGTTGGTGAATTGTTGTTAAAAATTGTTAATACCACCAGGGCTCATCTTAAGTTGCAACAGTATCAGACTGTTAGTTGTGCCTCTCTAACCAAAATGGTTTGACCATGAGCTTAGAGTCAGAATAAATCGTGTGGAAATTGGGGGCGAGGGAAGCAGGAAGCACCACTGACTTTGCAGGGCCAACCCTGAGCTTTACGTGTGAGTAGCCTGGGTGGTAAATGATTAAATGCAGGTGTGAGATTTCCAGGTAGACGGTGGGGCAGGTGGACCAATCCAGAGTGATCCGAGAGTTTTCACTAGGGAAATCGAGGGCAATTGGAGTTCCATGCAGATCTGTTTGCAGTGATAGACTCCCTCATTCTAAGAGCAGGTTGTTGATTTTAGACGTGAGAATGATCTGATTTAAATTCTTAGAAAGATGACTGAGTATCACCCATTTCCTTGCCTCATTCCTAAGTGAAGACTGACTCTCCTCCGTCACATCACAGGGATGTTAGGACCTGCGTTAGATCACATGTGCAAGGACCTCTGGCGAAACTTACTGACTTTTTCCTTGACCCGGTCGGTTCCTGCGTCTGACTCTGCACCACCGGCCCTCTGGCTCTCAGGCCTTGAGCCGGCACCTCACTGTATCACCTCGAAAGCTTGGACTCCTCAGGCGTTGAAGCCAGTGACAGGATTTCTGACCTTCAAATCTTGGATCTGTGAGACTAGAGAAACCCCCAGCTTGATGTTTCCTCTGAGGAGTCAGGGCTTGCCAGTCTCACATGATGTGTTTCCTTAAGACAAATCAACACGTCTCTTTCAAAGAGAAGGAGAACTCGGTCTAAGATACACCATTTGATATCCCCCTTCATGCCCGAGGCATCCAAAGGAGACTTAATTAAGAGATGAAGGAATCGTTCTCTGTGTGTCTGAAATCAAGAGAGTATGGGTCACGCTTCATATCAAAGGTGTGGAGAAATGAACGATGGAGGTGAAGTTCAGCTCTTGCTCTCTCCCCAGGACAAGCCCTATTTGTCAACATCTGACCAAAGACAAACAGAGCCTGTACTAGAGCTATTTAGGCTGCATAGACAGCGCTTGTTCATATGATTTATGGACAGATTTTGGCTTAAGTTTGTTTTGGTTTGGTTTTTTTCTTTTTTCTGATAGAGCTGTATAAATGCACTTCATGTTTGAGGCAATCATTAATCAAAATATCCCTGAGTATCTCTGTTACCAAAGGCATCCCACCTAACCATGTGAGTGTGTGTTCATCCCACAAGCCTGCTGCCCCTGACTCCAGGCCCTTGCTCACTGAGAGGTCGCTCTTCCTACACTGTCCACCGTCCCTTAGGCTGACCGTACACCTCTCCAACTCCATTGTCCCAGCTCACATCAGGCACCTCATGTGTGTGATGGCCAGGCACCCCTGCTTTGAGGGCCCCATGGGCACAATGACCAGGTAGCCCTTCTTAAAGAGCCTCAAGTGAGTGGTGGCCAGGCACCCCTGTTCTGAGGACCTCCCACATTTCTTGGGAAAACTACTGACATGCTTGGGAAACTTTGTGAAGAAGAAGAGGACTACAGAAATTAAAGCTGCCCTGAGAATAGTGACCAGGGATGGGAAGATGGCAAGGTGACATGGTTCTTCATCCCTTCTTCCCTCCTTGTCCTGTGCAGGAAAAGGACATCTTCTGCTGGAATGTTCTAGCTGTGAAGAGGCATATGGCTCCAGCAAGACATGCCCAGGATAATAATGCCTAGGTTTCTGCTCCCTGCCTCAAAGAGTCTCCTGAACAGAGTTCTTCCAGTGAGGAACATGGGTTTCTTCAAGACCGTCTGTCTTAGCTATCTTGTGCTGCTGCTGCTACAAAAATCCCACAAGGAGATGGCATTAACTAACAAATTCATTCTCTCACAGTTTAGAAGCTAGAAGTTGAAATTCAGGGTGCCAACTCCAGGGGAAGGTTTTCTTTGTCTGTTGGCTCTGGGGGAAGCCCTTGCCACCAATCTTGTTTTGGGTCTAGGAGGTTCTCAGTGCAGGACCCCAGATCCAGAGGACGCACTCCCCTCCTGGCTCATCTGTGAGCTGTCTCATCTCCGCTGGCTTGTCCAGCCCCTTTAAGATCTTAACAGAGATTGGGGGGGGGGGCGGGGGAAAGGGGCGCAACAATGAATGAATGGAATTCCAAAATCTCTGTAGATGTTCATTGAAATGAAAAATAAAGAAATTAAATTTTTTAAAAAAAGGAGAATGATTCAAGGTACAATGGAATTCTGCCTTATTAGTATAACTTCATCTAAATTTGACTTATTAACATCATCGAGGTATTATAACACATAGAATAATTACATCAGATCACGAAATGGAGAAAGCTATCATTCCAAGAATACGGCTGGATCAAGTGGACATTTATTTGGAGGGGACACAGTTCAATCCATAATATCAGATAACCTAGAACATTGAGAAACCATGGATCTGCCTCAGGGGCTAAATGACGTCTGCAGAACAGGAAAAGCCCACATCTGTTCCGGGAAGAGGTTTCTGTTTGGCCTCAGCAGGGATTCTCTGGCTTTGAGGTTGACTCCATGGGCCAAATCGAGCCTTTGTCTTTTGTAAACAGAGCCTAGCCACACCTGAGTGTTCACAAATCATCCTTAACTGTTTCACCCAATGAAGCTGAGATGCTGTGACCAATAACCTATAATCCATAAAATGTGAAATAGTCTCTGGCCCTTCCATAAGCAGTCTGCCAAGCCCCGTGTATGTAATTCTGCAGATGATGTTTCTTTATATTCAAGTTCACCCTTGCCCAGTCTCTGTTACGGTCAGAAAGTTAAGCCTGATAAACCGGACACTGCTTAAATTAGCTCCCATTTTATTATTCTCAAGAAGCAAACTAGCAGGCCTGTCATGAAGACAATTCTAGGAACACATGAACTGAAACTGCTTAAGCTACAGCCTCTGACTACACTGCCCATCATTAAACGTCCAGGCTCACAGAGCATCAGCCATTGAGCTAATTGCAACGTCCCCAGCAGCACTCTTTGGGGCTTGGGCCTGGTCAGAGGGTTGTGCTGGTAGCCCACCCTTCCACAGGCCATTTAGTTAAAATGTGTGAATTTCTTCTAAGTTGGTTACTGACCTTGAGCTCTGAGGGGGCTGCCGCTTCACCTGTTTCTTGGTTACAGGCTTCCTGTTTGTGTGGGTTTCCTTGTCTCCCCTTCAGTAGTATGCAGGACCTGGGGGGCGGGGGCTCAGAGTTTCTACAGCAGAGCTGCGGAGGGTGAAGGGTCAGAGCAGAGGCGAGCACTGGAGACTCTGGAAGGATTAGCCTGGCTCAGGCAGCACAACTGCTCCTGTGGGCCACTTCTTCTTTTCAGAGGCTCAGATGTGCCTCCCACTCAGAGGTGGTTTCTCTGGTCTCTCATTTTCCCCAAAATCTCTCCACTTGGAAGGATGATTCTCCATCTCTCTTCTAACTCTAAGAGAAAACTGCACA